AAATTTTCAATTCACATGGCCCTAAGCCTTCTCAGTGTCAAGTGCATATGAGGCTAGGGATGCCATTTCACCTACAAGGTTCTATGTACTCGTTTGTTACAAAATTTACATCTATCATTTGTTGATCCCACACAAATTTATTTTGGACTTAAAAATGATGCCAAATCTTTACTTCAGTGGCACAGTATCTCTATAATTAATTCTTCCAACGTAATATGTAATTTATTTATTTTCTTCATACCATTGGACATGAAGATAAGGCATTCATAACTTTTGCAAATTAATTCTTAGGGTTAAGCGTGTTTTGTTTACTGCCAGTGGCACCCATGCTTCTATCCCTGTGGAAGTTAGAGAGTAGAAGTTTTGATTTATTTACCTAAAGATTATTGTGTTTTACCAATCTTTGAAGTGCTTATTCATTTTCAGAGTGTGACTCCCCATCTGTCTTTGGGTGGTGAAGTGTTTTGGGCTGGTCAGCATCGGAAGTCTGGTATTGGCTATGCTGCTCGATACAACACTGACAAGATGGTATAATTCTTGAAGCCTTAAGTTATAACATCCTGAAGCTTTTCATTGTTTCCTACTTTTGTTGTACTATTAATTCTGCTATGCAAATAAGTTTATTAATTTGTTGCATTCTGGCATCAAAGATTTATATATCTAAAATGTCTATCAAGAATTAACTGTATGCTTGATCATTCTTGTTTCTGTTTCAAAATACCCCTGCTTTGGTTTAATTTTTTTTTTTTTTGTCTTTTAAATGAATGTCACAATTATAAGGAAAAATAAGCCTTGGTCCATGATGTAAGTATTAGTCATGAACACTTTTATATATGTATTTGATCTTCCTAAAAGGCATGGTGAATGATAACTCATACTGAAGTCAATAAGGAAACCAATAATAAAATCTGATTGCCTGCTAGGTTAACAACTGAGTGATAGCATGATACTGTTCAGCTCATTTGCACCTTACTACACTTGATAATTCAGTGGCTGAGTTGGATACTTCTTATTTCGATCGCTGAGTTAGGTTCCTACTGGACCATGACAATTTATTAATTGGAAAGGATCGGCAATATATTAGGAGCAGTGCGAAAGCTAATCATAAAATTATTCATTAATGAAAGCACTAGTTTACAACTTCAACAACTTACTTTTTTTTGTTATATATTTCTTGTTGTTTGATGGCTGATAGTTTTATTTAGCAATTTTTGACAGAAACAAATTAAAATTCATACGACAGTCAAGCCTGAGTTGGGCTGGGCATGCTTTATTAGTGTTTTCTTATTGTAGTCCAACTCTGCACATAAATTGATCAGGTTAAACTTTGCCAAAGACGCCCAATGACCTTAAAATATATGCCTAAGTTGGCCCAAATGCAAGCTAGGCCTGTGAAGCTGGGTGGCCTGGTAGATTCATGGGCAGCTCTAAAACATACTCCACTAATTTAATGATGCATGTTTCTACTTGATTTTGTTATATCTACCCTGAAGTTTCCTTGCTGATTGTATTGGCAAGAAATTTTGACTTGTAACTATCGTGTGATTCATACCCTAATCCAACTTGTTTTTGCACCCCAGGTTGCCACAGGGCAAGTTGCTAGCACTGGAATGGTTGCTCTGAGCTATGTACAAAAAGTTTCTGAGAAGGTGAGCAAAGTTCATCTGTGGTTGAATATTGATTCAGGGTTTAAATTTTATATTGTTGATGTATCTTGCAGCAGTTTGTCTTTTTCGTGGTTTCTTCGAATATTCTTTCTTACAGTGTTGCTTCCGTATAGGTTTCTCTAGCATCAGATTTCATGTACAACTACATGTCACGAGACGTCACAGCTAGTTTTGGTTATGATTACATTCTTCGACAGGTAGGTTTTGTATTGTGAATGTTCAAATATTCATGATATTGGTGTAATTATATCTTGCATGCTTAACCCTATCTTAGGAATATTTCATGTTGAGAAGATGATTGCGATAATGATGATAGTGAGAGATGTATAAATCAACAATTCTCACTTCATAGCAATACATAGATATTCTTTATGTTCTCCTTCATACATTGTTATCTTACCATAGGCCTAGGTCCATGGCAAGGTTGCACAATCAGTGGTATCTGATTGCTGTTGGAGGATGTTACCACCTAGTAGGTGAACACCCTCATGAAACATGATTTTTCAGTTTACTATAATCAGATGTGCCAGTAATACCACTGGACTTTGTGGCCTGTTAATGTTATGCTGACCTTTATATGATTCCACATGGAAATTTTTCTATCCAGATTCAGTCTGGCAACATAAGATGCTTACGTACATGTGCAGTGCATGCATGTATTTATACACACCTAAATATTAGTATCAGTGTCTTCCTGATGAGACTTAGTTTGTCTAATTGACATGGTCATTCTTGCATTCGTCATCTCCACAATTGCTGCTGCTGGCAAAACCATTTCTGCCATCATAATTGATATGGGATTCTTTCTTGGTTTTTTATTGTGGCGATATAAAAGCCGGTCATGAATTTTGTTTGTGCCCTTTGTTGTGGACAACTCTAAGCTGGATTGCGTGGTTACCTGTTATAAGTTGTTCAATAAGATATGAATTTTTTAAGTTGTGATCATTCTCCTTGACCAATATGATCTTTGTTGCAGTGCCGTCTTAGAGGAAAGATTGATTCCAATGGCACCGTGGCTGCATTTTTGGAAGAGCGACTAAATATGGGTCTTAATTTTGTCCTTTCTGCAGAGGTATCTATCAATGTTTTGTTTTCTATTCTTCCTCTTCTGAATTAAGGCAAACATGCTTTGTTTACTTTAGCTTGCTTAGGGGTGATTCTTAGGTGAGGCAGTCACATAGGGAAGCCTTCTCACAGTCGAGTGGGACCTACATGTGGGTCCAACCACACTCAGTAGAAAAATTGCATGAACCCTTGAAGGCAAGTTTTTCTCCACTGTGAGAGGGCTGCCCCATGCGGCTGCCCCTCATAAGAATTTCTCCTTGCCTAGATGCAATGCCATGATCCAATGGTTAAGTTGACAATTCCGAAAATACCAGCTGATTATTGATTATGCATTAGCCTCTTCATTGCTTGCTTTAGCTTGGTGGATATTTTGGTTTGTAGTTGATTTAGACAATTCACTTCTCGTTAAGCACCCTGCTTTGCCAATTCTTTCTTGACAAGTACTAAAATATATGCTTTGCAGATTGATCACAGAAAGAAAGACTACAAATTTGGGTTTGGATTGACTGTTGGGGAGTAAATTGCAGCACCGATGTTGTTTCATCATTCTTGCCGGCAAGATATATTATCTCTTTATTTTTCCATTTGAGTTGAACCGGAGATGATGTACTTGAGTAACATTATCGCAGGGTGGCATCAGTTGAGCCAGTTTTAGCAGCCGGTATTCAAGTTTGGAGTTCGCTTTTTTCCTATAAGAGTTGTAGAATTCTGTTTCAAAATAACTCAAATTGAATTCCTAGTCAGTGGTAGCCTTTGTCGGAATAAACCTGATTTCTTGTTTGATCAATTTGGTCTACTCACATGAGCAATGACGAATTGGATCAGCTTGGATTGCTTCCCAACATATTTTAATGTTAAAATGTTAGGGGCATTTTCCTATGCCCTGCTTGGTTGGCAGGAATTCCTTAGTAATTTTATTCCTATTTTGGTCATATTGGGATTTCCATACACAAGGCTCAAACTACCATTAGCATCCTGCCGTCTCATTGGCAAAATCTGGGGTTGTAAATTAGAAACAAGTCAAGCTGATGTTAGATATTTGTAAACCTTGTGAGTAGCTCGATTAGAAGAAGCTTGTTTGGAACGAACCAGCTTTTGAAATAAGGGAGATTCACTATTATACTCAATATAGGAGCTCAAATTATAAAAAAAAAAACCTTATATGAAATGGATTTTAGAAATACACTCAAAACTCATTTACAACATAACAAAAAGGCTTCTAACTTCTTTTAAATTACAAAACTGTCATTGATTTCTTAAAACAAACCTAACCCCCAAATCTTATAAAAAAGCCCAAAACACTCAATAGAGCATCAAAATTAAATTCAATATGACCAGCTATCATTTTTTGGGTTTGTTTATAGAAATTAAATGATGTAGGGTTTATTTATATTATTAGTGCTAAAAATGGGTATATGACTAAATATCTCTTGAAATATTTATTTATTTAATTATTAAATATTCATGTTTTGTTGCTAATTTTTTTTAGCACAAGTGGTGGGGGAGAAGAGTTTACATAAATATTCATTGGGTGCCTGGGGTTTCGAATCTCTCTATACCCAACTGACTGTTTTGGCTTGATGCAGCTCAAGTTTGTATCTTACTCAACTTCTATAAATAAAAAACAAGCCAAATCAAGCTTAAAGCTCAATAAATTTTAAACAAGACAAGCGTGAGCACAATGATATTCCCTTCTACATCCCTAACAAAATCATAACATGGAACTGAACTTGCAGATGGGACTTCATGGCCTCTCTAAAGTTTCTTGCTTTGCTTTTCCCTTTTTTTTCTCTTCCTCTTTTTGTGAGGTCTCTTTGGTATTTTCCAAGTGCTTGGAATCGCATAGAACTAGTAGTCTAACAGGAGAAAATCTTGGGTAAGGCTGCTTAAACATCCCTTATATAATTTGGTAGCTTTTACCAATTGGCACATGAGTGTTTGCCAAGGGTTAGTTTGTTTCTAAAATGAAATCAATATTTGCGTGAAAAAGAAAAAAGAAATCAATATTACGAATACAAAAGATAAGAGAATTTTTTTAACAAACCAATATTAAAAGAAAAAGAAATAAACTCGAGTGCAAGGAGGCGGACACACAACACAAACATATTCTTTTGGTTTCTGTTCAGTGCGCCTATTTCCATAATCCCCCACACAATGAGACATGCATTGAAACGCACCGTTTCACTAAATGTACAGTACACTCGTACAGGAAACGGTGACGTCTTGGACCAGGTTTTCAAAAGAAAAACAAACAGAAGGTTGCAGTGCAGAGGCCTTCTTTTTCCTCGCGAGGCAACCTATGAACAGGACCTCATCGCACCGCCGTCTGCAACGTCTTCAAGGCCAACATTTCAGTCTTTTCTCCTCTATTTCTTCAACACATCCAGCCGGTACGAAATTTCGGAGCTATTTCGCCGATATCTTGGAACATCGCCGATATTTTGTCAACGGAAGCTGCAGAGGCGGCGGGTTCGCGCATTTTGGCAATCAAATTAGCGAACCATGTAACTCTGCCCCGAACCAGGTAGCTCTGGTTCGTCCCCTTAAAATCCACAAAACAGTACAGCTCTTAGGCAAGTTCCCAATGTCCGCTGACCTGCGTCGCATGCACCCTTCTCTCAAGGTACACTATCATACTTTCAGCTCCACTCGAACCTTAATTACAAGCTCCCGAAGCTTTGATTATTTTGCTCAGTTTTTGCCATTTGCTAATGACCCAAGCTCCAAATCCTTGAGCTCTATAAACTCTAATGAACGACGTAAAGTCACTGTTGGGTTATCAAGACTAATAAAGAAGCAACAAGGCTATGCTTTGAAGGAGTTTTCTAGACGGTTTTGCCCATTATTGCTCGCACAGGTTATGAAACTATTAGGCTCTAGAGAAACTGCATTTGGGTTCTTTAAATTAGCCTTTAGGGATGATAGTGAACAAATTGTGAGGTCTTGTTGTATTGTTGCACATTTGTTGGCAAGGGAGAATCTACGTTTTCTAGCTCAAGATGTCGTTTCGTGTGTAATTGCGAAAATTGAGCCGAGTAGGAGTAGAGATTTGGTGGGGTTTATGTGGGCAGGTCATTGTGAATATGAGTCAGATTTCTCAGTTCTTGATACGCTTATGAGGGGTTTCTTGAATGTGGAAATGGGTTTGGAGGCGTTGGAGATTGTGAGTAGGATGAGGGAGGTGGGGTTGAGGCCGAGTTTTTCAGCAATTATGAATCTTTTCAGGCTTTTGATTAGGATTGGTGATTATGGTAGTGTCTGGAAGGTGTTAAGGGATATGATTCGGAAAGGGCCTCGCCCCAGTAATTATACTTTTACTGTAATGATTCTTGGGTTTTGTAGAAAAGGGTTGCTTAGAGTCGGAGAGAGTTTATTACATGTGATGTGGAAATTCCAGTGTGATCCGAATGTTATTACATATAACACTGTGATCAATGCAAATTGTGTGAGGGGACAGACACTAGAAGCACTTCACTGGGTGCATTTGATGACTTCAAGGGCCTGTAAACCAAGCATTGTTACATTTAGTATCATCTTAAATGCCTTATGTAAGGAAGGAAATCTGGTGGAAGCTAGGAAGTTTTTTGATGGGATCCCAGATATGGGTGATCCTCCTAGTACCAGAATATACAATACCATGATGGACGGGTATGTTAAGGCAAGGGACATGGGTCAAGCAAACATGATATATGAAGAAATGAGGAACAAGGGCATATCTCCTGATGGCATAACTTTTAATATCTTGATTGCTGGGTATTACAAGTACGGAAGGGAAGAGGATGCAGACAGGTTGTTAAAGGATTTATCTGTATCAGGGCTGATTCCAGATTCTTCATTGTATGATATCTTGGTTTGTGGGTTATGTTGGGCAGGTCGGTTGGACGATGCCATGGAATTTTTAGAGGATATGCTAGAAAAAGGTTTACCGCTAACTGCTGTTGCTTTCAACTCAGTTATTGCAACTTGCAGCAGAGTAGGGTTAGAACACAAGGCCTATAAAGCCTATAAGTTTATGATTGCATTTGGTATAACTCCTTCATCTTCTACATGTAGCTCTTTGCTTATGGGTTTATCCAAGAAGGGGAAACTGCAAGAAGCCAGAGAGCTTTTGTGCAAGATAATAGAGAAGGGGTTTCCGATAAAAAAAGCTTCTTTCACAGTGATTTTGGATGGGTACTTTAGAATTGGTGATTTAGATGGGGCTCAAAGTTTGTGGAATGAGATGAAAGGAAGAGGGATATGTCCTGATGTTGTTGCCTTTTCAGCATTTATCAATGGACTATCTAAAGCTGGTCTAGTGGAAGAAGCATATGACATATTTCTGGACATGTCAAGGAAAGGGTTCGTGCCTAACAATTTTGCCTATAATTCCTTGATTGGTGGGTTTTGCAACTGTGGGAAGTTGAGTGATGCATTGAAGTTGGAGAGTGAGATGAGGAAAAAGGGTCTTCTTCCAGATATCTATACAACCAATATGATCATTAATGGGTTCTGTAAACAGGGGAGAATGAAGTCAGCTGTTGATACATTTATGGACATGTACCGATCTGGGTTAACACCAGATATTGTCACGTACAATACCTTAATTGGCGGTTATTGTAAAGCATTTGACTTGGCTGGAGCAGATGAGTTTTTGTGTAAGATGCATGCCAGTGGGTGGAAACCAGATATCACAACCTATAATATACGTATGCAAGGTTTTTGTAGTGTCCGCAAAATAAATCGAGCTGTAATGATGCTGGATGAGCTTGTTTCAAGAGGTGTTGTTCCAGACACAGTTACATACAACACTTTGATGAATGGTGCTTGTGTTGACATACTGGATCGTGCTATGATTTTAATGGCTAAACTGCTTAAGTTGGCCTTTCTTCCAAATATTGTTACAACTAATGTATTGTTGTCTCAGTTCTGCAAACAGGGGATGCCTGAGAAGGCTCTAATGTGGGGTCGGAAGTTGAGTGATATTCCAATTTGGTTTGATGACATTACCTACAAACTATTGGAAAGAGCCTATCATAATATGCAAGAAGGTTCTAAAATTTCCAGTGGGACACCTGAAAAAGGCCTCTTCCTGGATTTCCTCATGTACATTACATATGATTACTTATGTAGAAATAAACCTCGCAGATAGACATCATAATTTTATCGGTCCTTAAATACACATATACGGACATCATATTTTCTGTCCCACCCTTTCCATTGTGATTTCCTGACTCTCTCCCACTCTGAGAAGTGAAAAACCCTTCCTTCTCTCTCTCGCTCGTCCTCTAAGCATCGGTAGATGAGAAGTAAAGACCTAGACAAAAAGAGTACGGTGGATAGGATGCTAATAAAGGGAATTTGGGGCTTCGTTCCGGAGACCAAGCACATCATCACCTTCTTCAATCCCTTAACCCCAATCGTCAGCCCCAACAGCACCGGAAAAACCACCATTCTCAAGTACTTGAAGCTCTCTTGCTCCAACAAGTTGCCTCCCAATGCTAGGTCTGGCCACAACTTCTTCCATGACCCAAAGGTTGTAGTTGAAACCAAGCCCAATGCCCAAATTAAGCTTCGATTCAGAACCTCAGCGGGTAAAGATGTGGTATGCATTAGGTCATTTCAGCTCATGCAGAAAGCCTTGAAAATGGAGATCAAAGCCTTCGACATCCTCCCTCAAACCATCATACCATTGAACCGGAGAGGTACAACTGCTTTTCTTGTTATGTTCAAATTTTATTTTTTGAAGCTCCTTCAAAATTGTTGATTCGTTGTTTCTGAGTTGCAGAAATATTTCTTTAGCTATAGATGTGCTGATAGGGATAAGGAAATCCCTGCATTACTGGGTGTGTCAAAGGCCATTTGGAGAATGTTATGTTTGCGCACCAAGATGAAGCCAATTGACCTTTGCAAGATCCATCCACATTGAAGGAAAAGGTTTGATGATTTCTTCTCTGCTGCCTGGTATTGTCTTTTGTTATCAACTTTTTTATTTTTCTTTTGTTTCCCTAGTTGAGGTAAATTTTTATACTAATATTTCATTCCATATGTACCCTTCAATTGTTGTGTCAGTAGGGCTTGTTCCCTGATTTTGAGTAATCATGAAAATGGTTACACGTAAAAGTGAACCTTGTGACTTATAGTGTTCACAACTGTCCATAATTTTTTCATTAATTTTTGCTAATGGTTGCTCATAGTTTGTTTCTAATTCGTTATATCAGATTATGTTCCTCCCTTGTGTGTGTATGTAGGTCATGGAAATATAGATGGAAGTATTTGACACAATGAATGTCCATTTCCTAAAAACATGTTTCTTGTTTATCTTTCCTAAACATGAATCTTACATGCTAAGCTCTCTGTGACCATCTTTCTGTATCTTATTTATGAGTTTGCATTCTGCAGTAGCTGTTTCTCCTGCCTTCTCCATTACTCTGTTTAAAACACTGGTATATGCAACACGAGTTCAGCATTGGGGCCACAGTTTCTTTCTTTGTTTTAGTTGTTAGAAATGATGGCTACTTTTTCAACTGGATTGGAAATAACAGTTTTATTTTCACTTAATATCTGAGATATGTAAACTTTTTGGGGATTAAGTTTGCTCATATGAGGTTTTGTGCTTCTAGGTTCGGGAGAGCATCTCTCAAGATCAAGAAAAAACATAATTGCTGGAGAAGTCAGATGCAGGAGTTGGACGGAAGCATGCAAGACGTGGATGCTAAAATGCATTATAGTGAAGTGAACCATCAACGAAAGATTTGTGGAAACCAGATATCGATGAAGACTGCTGTAAGAAGCACTTCCTTTAGGGCAGCAGCAGCAGCAAAAGTATGCAGCTAATGCAGAGGAGAATGAAGGTCAATTGCTGCTTAGCAGTAGTGGAATGCTTATGTTACACTGGTTGATTTACACTTGTGTTCGCTTTTACTGGTGCTCCAATTTAATAATTTATCAGTGTGGAGGACTTTGGTGATGCTGCCTTTAGGGGGTTTTGACCGCTTTCTTGTTTGCTCTTTTGGATTGGTTAGACACTAATGAAGAATTGAAGGAATGGAAAACCAAATTTGAAGAAAGGATCGCACTTTTGGAAACTAAAATTAGCAAGTTGGCGAGAGAAATGGACGACACAGAGACCAAAAGTAGATTAAGATCCTAGCTATGTGTTTGGACAAGGGAAATAGACTTGGAATTCGGGTAAAAGTTAACATTTTTAAATTGACGAACACCTATTATCTTGTTTGAATTCATAAAGAACAGAAAATTAGAAATTTTACTTGAAAATGAAGGCCAAAAATTCATTTTGGTCCCTGTAGTTTGGCACTTAAACCAATTTTGTCCTTATAGTTTTAATTCCGTCAATTTTGCCATTGTAGTTTCGTATTTGTAGCAATTCAAAGACAAATTAGTATTCTTGTCAATTTCTTTGATAGTGCAAGGGACAACTTTGTCAACCCAAAACCCTTGAGCGTAAAAGCTTGTTAAAAACTCTCATCATTTTATATTAGCGCTCGAAATTCAACCACTAATCCAAATTTTTGAAGAACCCTAAACCCAAATGGCCAATTTCAAGCCCTAATATGAAATGGGGAGAGTTTCATATAAAGCTTTAACGCTCAAGGATTTTGGATTAACGAAATTACCCCTTGCATCGTCAAAGAAATTGATGAGAATACTAACTTGTCCTTGAATTGCTACAAATATGAAACTACATGGTCAAAATTGATGGAATTGAAACTACAAAGTCAAAAGTGGTTGAAGTGCCGAACTAGGACAAAACTAAACTATGAAAGTTGGAGATCATAAATTCTAACATTAATTCAATTAAAATAGTTTTAATTTCTAAAGTAACAAGAAAATGAAAGTTTTAAGAAAATAAAACAATCATGTACGATGCTGCCACCACCTCTGCTACGATCACCATCTCTAGTACCACCACTACTACTTCCACCTCCATTTTTTCTTTCTGAAAATTGGTGTAAGAATAGGAAAAGGGTGGAAAAGACGACACTCAAACTAGAAAAACAAAACCAGCTTAACATTATTTTTACTTTTCATTAATCTTCTCCAATGTATTTTCTCTTCATTTCTAACAAAGAATCAACGGGAACTTAAATTTTCTCATGTTTGTTTAAATAGGCGTTTAGATTAAAGATAAAACTGAAAATCCGACCACGGTATTTTATTAGCCTCATCGTATGCTTTGCCCACCACTAAATACCAGGGTCCAAAACCTACTTCCAATTAATTGGGTAAAGGCAAGTTTTGGTTCCAGGGCTTTGGGTAAAACCCAAAACAATTAGAGGGAGACAGTGAAAAGTCTTTTAGGCACAGGGTACAAATAAAATGTATATATATTTTTTGTAAGCTATAAATATAAGGTTGTGAGATAGCAATAAAAGGAACTTCGGTGTTTTTATATAGCAAACATGAGACAAGTCCGGAAAAAAACCCACCGTTTCCAATTAACCAATCTGTAAAAATAAATATATTCATCACTGTATTACAATAAGCAGCAAGCAACCCTTAGAAGCTCTCTGCATTGATATCAAAACTCCCAACCCAATAAATCGATAGCACCGACATTTGTTGACTATTTACGAAAATAAGAAAAAGGAAAAGTGGGGGAAAATTTTGCAGGCGGCCTAAACCAAAAAATATCAATACAACCATCAAATCACCCCATATAATGGCCACATCAAATGGCAAGAAATATTACAGACTCGGTGTGCTCGGAACCCTCGCTTGTATGCACAATGAAAACGTAAGGGATCCAAATCAATAAAATATCCTGTAGAAGGGAATCTCAACCTGAACAAACGGTGCCTAAATCACAGGAGACTTGTGAAGGAAAACGAGAACAAAAAAGGAAAAACGACGACACAAACCGGTGGAGAGAGGCATATCCTGCCATAGAATGGCCCGACTCACCAGACAATGACTAAGCCAAAACCCAGAGTTGAAGTGCCAGCTCCAGAGTTCCCCAATCTCAAATTTAGCATATTGGTGGAACTCATCAGACATGCTCCAAGTATGTCAAAATGAAAACTCCTTGGGGCTCAACGACAAATGCGACCACCAGAGTAACCAAATGCTCTGAATGGACCACCAACAACTCTGTTTCTCTATATTCCCATTACTACATGAATGGAAAAAGCAAAGATGACCAAGGCAAAATTGAAGCCACACCATGAGATATAAAGCAGAATCATGAAGCCGTGGCAGCCGATGCCTTCTCCATCTTTTCTTTTTCAATCTCTGCTCTCCTCTGTTCTGCATGCTGTGCAACACCATTAGCAAGAGCCTGATAATGAAAGTCTAGAGTCTGCGTAAGACTCTGAAACCTCAACGGATCTGATGCTTGCATGCCTACACGAGCAAAGCATAGAAAATAGAGCACATGTCAGACACGCCAAAAATTCAAGATTTGAGTTTCAACATATCACACAGGAAACTCTCCACTTACCCTTTACTGCATCTACAAAGAGGATAAAGGGGTCCACCTCATCAATTGGTGACTGTAACTCCTCATCATCACTGAAATCATCATCTGAGTCTTCATCAAATTCATCACTAGGGCGGAAAGACTTTGCCTGTCGCACCACCAAGTGACAATTAGTCATTGGACAGAAGATACATAAAAAGAAAGACTAATTAAGAAAAGAAGCCCATGTAGTCAAAAGCAACAATTCCTTAAAGGAGGCAGGGTACTCAGACACATCACCAAGTTGCATTGCCTCAAGAAGGACTGTTAGGCATCTTGTATTTACTTAGTGCCTGGGATTGTTTAAAGAAATTGATCTTAAACAGAAGTCATGCATTGACAATTAACAGAAAGCTTGACCAATTTTGCACAATGAGAATTTGTCTCGTAAAGGGGAAAATGAGAATTAAATTGAATTTCTGGGACAGGTTAAAAAGAACGAATTGTTCGCCCAACAGTTGCATGACAAACCAGAATAATATAAAACACAAAAGAAAACCACCATAAAATATTAAGTTTTCCCTCCAAACAAAAATACCTAATTAGAATTAAGGGTCCATTTAGACGGAGGTATTTCAAATGAGGAATTTGAACCAAGTTTTTAGTGTAAATTAACTAACTGAACATTAGAAAATTTCTCATGTTGATAAAATCTACAAATAAAATTGACTAAATAAGAAAAGAAGGCACACCTGTGCAGCTAACTTTTGAAGCTTCATGCTATCAGCCTCGTCGCCATCCTCAGCATCAACTCCCATTTCCTTATCCGATCCATCACCAAAATCATCATCATCATCAGTTTGGAAACCATCCATATCATCATCATCTTCTGCATCTTCCTCCTTTGCAGCTTCTGCCATAACAACGTTCATAAGAATTTAAAACTTAGTAACATATAACTGAAATAAATAAGTGTGTGAGCCATGCAAACAAAAAGTTATTACTACCTACAGTGAAACTTATAAATATTCTGATTTATAAATCCAAAATAATTCACATTATGGTGCTTGTAGTTCCAAAGTTTATATTCCAAGTGGAAGAATAAGCAATATAGATTAAGAGGGAGAAAAAGACCTGCAACTTGTTCCTTGTATGCAACCAGGAGATCAAGGGTGGCCCTGAAAACACGGCCCAATGCTTCCCCAGGTAACTGTTCTGCTGTAAGTGTCAATAATGATGTCAAACCCAGGCAGCAAACTTTTTTATCATGCTCCCTGCAACGAAAAACTCAATTACATTCTACATCCAAAACTTCTTTAGGGAGGGGCAATACCAATGTGAAATAAAATTCAGTCGGGTGGGGCATTACCAATGTGAAACAAAACTGCAAATTACCTTTTAAAGTTGGCACGCACACCACTTTTCTTAACCTGTTGCAGCATTTGGAACCAAAGATTAAAGATCTCAGTTGCAACACCCAGCTTTTGCAGTATGCTGAGTGTAAAAGCTGCATTATAGTACAGAGCATCGGCAATCTGCAAACAGAAAATTTAATATATGCTTCAGTATGAAACAAGCAATCAGGAAAAGGGGTCCAGCTTCAGTAAGTAACACCCTGATCCAAGGCTTGGAAGAACTATGGACAAGTTATGGCTCAGAAGCACTACGCAGAACTTATCACATTTAAAGATGAAGCAAAGGTTTCTATATCAAGAAACATAAAAGTTAACAACTGGCTACTTACCACTTGAATGAGAAGACATTTCAAGTATGATTTCTCAGCTCGACGCAACCGCTCAACTGAAATTCTAAGATATGGCTCAACCCACTGATCAACCTGCCCTCTGCAGTTCTGAAAAACTACTTGAATGAGCTTCGGAGCAGGCTCAATATCACTGTCTTCCATATTTTTATCTGCCATTATCTGCACAGAACAAGAACACATAAATATCTATTAGATCAATTAAATTCACAAAAAACTTTTACTAAGTAGTCACCAACTTAATTCTCAAGCAATTCACTAAAGCAACGGGAGGGATCCTTGACCAATCATCTTCTTAAACTGAGTAAGTTCTACCATATAGTGTGTTAATAGCAGTCATTTCATGAATTGTCCCATTCAAGAAGACAGTTGCTAACACAATAGAGAAAACAAGGGTAGAAGACATTTCCTACATGTATTGTTCAGTCTAGCAAGAATAAATTGGTAACATAAAGGAACTTACAGCCGCAATCATATTCCAAAGGCTTTGCTGGTAGTCCGGTTCTTTACAAGTGAGAAAGTGTGCAGTCCCCCTGGAAATGTAGTTATCTAAAGGAACCAGAATATCTACAAGGAAACACACAATATGAGGATGGAAAGAAAAAAAGTACATGAATGCATAAATCTGATTGCATGGACCATCAAAAGTTTAAATCAGGCAGACATTTTGCTACTTCTTCCCCAACTCAACATTATACTATCATGTTTACCATTAGGTAAAGCTGTACCATTATACAAGTTCAAGTCTCCCATGGATTGATCACATATTCCAGCAGGTTTCTTTTTATCGCTTTTTCATTTTTTTTAATACTTTTTTGCCTCAATGGGGTCTGTGTAGAGTCATGGGTCATGGGTCTCATCTCTTCGATAAGTAATATCACAAGCAATGAATATCAGAGCTGGAAATGATAAGTCAGTAGTTATACACTTAATAGTACCATATAGCATGCTGTAACTGGAACTGCAAAACAAACAATATTTATATCCCCCCAAAAAAAA